CAATGGCAAAGGGAAGCATGGTAACGGTGAATGCTACCACACCTAACCCCCGGTAATTTCACACCCCGAAATTGGGCGGCAACCTAATTTTTGTTTCCACTTTGACCATATCTGAGTGTGTAAATGATACTCCCTTGTTCCTACGGCCTAAGCACAGCAGACTCCACGCCGGCAAAAACTTTTAGCACTGCCTAAGCTGACATTGGGTAACCTGACTCAAGAAACAGCAAATCGAGCAGTAAACGTTTTGTATAGAAACCCAAGCTAAATTTGTATTTGAAGGGTATTCGGATCTGGTCTTCAAGAGCTGCTTTCGAGGGGGTGAATACTCTCTCAGACGGCACCCCCTGTGAAAATACTGGGTGTGAAATCAGTGCGGGCTAGGTGTATTGCGGCAAGCGCGGCCATTTTTGGCGCCATTACTGGACGCGCCTGAAGGATTGAACTCCCTCCAAGACGGGCAATGACGAGGGCAACGCTCATACTACTACTGGCGAAGGGAGCGAGACACGCGAGTTGCTAGTCCTAATGGCCACGCCATGGGACGAAGGAAGTCAGAGCTGATTGGCTCCTTGATATTTGAGCCACTCAACACATAATACACTCCGTGGGGCTTCCTTGATGGCATCGGCGAAGCAAATATTGTGAAGCGGGTCACGTTCAGCAACAACAAGTTTCTTCTGGTAGAGGGTATTAGAACGGCTCATATCGTTGTCGATTCAGGTCTGATCAACATCACCAACGTGTTGCACGTCCGCGACTGATGGTGAACCTCGTTTTCATGTCACAATTGGCGAAGGAAGAAGTTACCTTCAACATCGATGACGCCGCCCTAACGTTGACCCATAAAAGTGTGCCCTTCGCTAAGGGGTTTCTTGATGGGGAGTTGTACCGACTGTGTACCTACTCTCACTCGGCATCGGTTTACGTTACTCAACCTGCCCAAAATGCCCCTCAAGGTGTGGCACAACCGCTTGGGTCATGCCCACCTCGAGAAGGAATAGGGACATGGCAAGCAAGGGCATGACGGATGGCTTCGATGTTGCAGGGAGGGGTAATGCGGAGGAGGTGTGTGTGGCGTGTGTTGAAAGCAAAATGGCACGTAAGCCATTTGCTGCCCGGTCTTCACCCCCAGCCCCCGAGCCACTTGCGCTCGTGCACGTGGACGTGTGCGGGCCGATGTCGACCACCTTAAAGGGGGGAGCTTGCTACCTGCTGGTCATGCTTGATGATGCCAACCGTATGACTTCAAGATGGCCTCTCAAGTCTAAGGCGGATGTGAAGACAATTATCAAGCAATGGGCATTGCGCATGCGTACCAAATTGGGGAAGCCGTTGCAGCGATGGTGGGGGCAATTTTGTGAATGGCTATCTCAAGGAATGGATGGCTGAGGAAGGCATTCATCATCAGGCCTCCACACTTTACTCCCCCCAAACAAAATGGCCATGCCTAGAGGCTGAACCGCACGAACATGGTATCCACCCGTGCTCTTCTTCACCATGCTAATGCCAGCGGGGAATGGTGGGACGAGGCGAAAGCATTGGCAACGTGGATCCACAATTGAATCCCTACCAACGCGCTGCCCAATACCACCCCATTCGAGGCTTGGACCGGAGACAAGCCTTCCCTCTCCCTTCTATGCACCTTTGGGTATGTATGCTACTATCATGTACTAGAGCCGATGCGTAACAAGTTGCAGCTGAAAGCGCAGGAGACCATTTTCCTCGGAGTGGCAGCAAAAGAGCATGCATGGCGAGTGTGGGATACAGCTGAGAAGCGGGTTGTTGTGTCACTTGATGTCGCCTTCATGGAAGGCCGGTTTTTTACGACATAATGGGCCACCGGGACGGTGACATTCATCTTGCTACCCGACCATGAGGAGATCGTCGTTCCCCCGCCCGTGGGAGGGGAAGCAATGGATGAGGCTGAGAATGGAAAAGTATTGAGAGGCTCCAATGTGGGAGAGGTGCAATATTTGGCACCCAATACTGCACCACCCTCAACTGCTGCCCAACCTCCTCCTTTGGCCCTTACTCGTGAACGCCGCACGTGCATCCCTACCCACGCTTCACCGACTACGTGATGATAGCGAATGGGGAAGACGAAGTAGAGGAAACCATGGGCTACTATTTGATCACTAACGAGGAGGACCCTAAGACCTATGGGCTCCTGAAGCGGCCCTATAGAAGCACGCCATGGATGAGGAGCTCATGTCAGTTATAAAAAATAGCATCTACGAGCTTGTTGTGCCTTCGAGAGGCGCATACCTCGTGGGATCCAAGTGGGTGCTAAGGCGCAATACAGTCCGACCGGAATGCTTGACCACTACAAGGGTCGTCTTGTAGCTCAAGGGTTCACCCAGGGGGAGGGGGGGCACTTTTGAAACCTTTGCACCCATTGCTAAAAGTGTCACGCTTCGTCTTCTCCTCGCTATCGCAGTGAGCTTGAACCTTGAAGCAGACCAACTCGATGTAATCACGTCATTTCTCTACGGCACTCTTGCGGCAGCTGCCAGGCTTTGGCGATGGCACCGGGCACGTATGAAAGCTGAAACTACCTTGTATGGGCTCAAACAGAGCCCTGGGGGTGGCAGACGCGCATCTATGAGATCCTCTTGACTCACGGGTTTGTTCGTAGCAACAGCGACAACGCCTTGTTCGTGCTGAACCATGAGGGGGAGCAGTTGGTGCAATCACTCTACGCCGATAACCTTCTTCTTCTGTTGGACTCGAAGGCGCTTATTCGTTCAGTGAAGGAGCAGCTAGGTGCTTTGTTTGGAATGAGGAGCCTTGGAGCAGTCACATGCTACATCGGCATGCACGTCGATAGGGATCGCGGTGACGACACTCTCCATTTGCACCAACAAAAGTACGTGACTTCCGTCGTCGATAGGTTCGACATGGGCAGCAGCAAACCAGTGGGAACTCCATTGCCCACCGGTTTCTGTGCTCTCCTGACCTATGAGGACTTGACGGTTAGCAAAGAGGAAGGGAAATGCTACCATGCTCTTGTGGCATCGATTATTTATGCAGCGGTCTCTACACGGCCCGACCTTTCCTTTGCAACTTTGGTCTTGGGGAGAGCGGTAGCCAGCCTTCATGTTGAGCACCTATGTGCAGGAGCTCGCATGGTACGTTACCTCCAAGGGACTCTAACCAACGGGCTCCTATTTCAGAGAGGACCCATTGAGCTCAAATGCTATACTGACGCGGATTGGGCAGGGGAACCGGCTACCCGTAAGAGCACTTCTGATTACATCTTCACCTTGCTTGGGGCAGCTGTTATTTGGCAAAACAAGAAGCAGGGAGCGATGGCGCTCACCTCCACCGAAACAGAGTATGTTGCTTTTTCTCAAGGGGCTTAGAGGCCATTGCAGAGTTTTCTGCTATGACAGGAGCTGTGCCTGGTGCAGAGTATTGGAGCTGCACTAACTCTGTAGTTATCTGAGAAGCTTGCCTCCAGATTGTGTGTCTTCCAATGTAGCTTGACGAAACTTATACAAACACACGTAAAATTCACTAGAATTAAGATAGGATATGATACAACAAGGGCAAGACCTAATACTACCTCAATGAACCATGCAAGAACTTTCTCTGCCGAACGTTGTCAAAACACCGCGCATGCACACTCTGCCAAGTCAACACCGAGTAGCATAAAGTTCTCTACCACCACTTGGATGTACTCTGTCAACCCAGCATTGGCAGGTGCAATCCCTAAGTAACACTGGCAGATGAAATGCCAGGTCAGCATCGGCATGTGTTCACCAACCAAGACAGTTGAACCTGACAGTTCAAGGTCTCAATGTCTCATGTTCTGCACATATCCCCAGTTACGACCATGTGCACCAGGTTCATCGCGCAGATAGGTTCGGTTTCACCCAGATGGGTTCCCTTTTCTGCCGTAGAGAAAATTCGCGCCCTTCTACGAAGTCGCATTGTAACGAGGACCCACGCCCTCTGCCAAGACTCGCACGCCAAAACTGTGCCAGGCCTCGCGCACCCAAACTCTGCCGGGCCTCGCGCACCCTGACTCTGCTGCTCAATCTTCTGCTAGTGTACACTTCTTTCCGCAAGTGTGCTCTGCCGACACTTTGATGAATCCGCTCTCTACCAATAAGGCTTTTTGCAGAGTCTCGCCTTGTCGCCAAATATCTCTGCCGAGTGAGTTCGTCGGCATCGGCAGAATCTGTCACCGTGCCCCTTCTGCAGACTCTGACGCCTCTTCTGTTGACAGGCCTCTCTTACGGAGCTGGCGTCGGGAGAGTTCACAAACTCTGCCAATGCGCCACTTCTGAAGACTCTGCAGCCTTCGCAGGATATCGAGGCCATTTTCAACAGCCATCTGGCTGCGACGCTTGCTAGCTCAACTTAACTCACCCGCAAACCAGCCCCATACCTTTGTTAGTGGACAACCAAGTGAAGATGCACCTTTCTTTCAAAAACTTGAGGAGGGGGGCCGCTGAACCGGAAACGGCCAGGGTCATGACGAAAGTGATATCAACGAAGAATGAGTGTACTGTGTACACTGACAATTCGGGACGGGAGGAGGGAGGAAACTGTTCCGAGTAGGCGAAAAGAAGCTGGTAGTGGTTACCCTCCCTCGAAATTTCCAGTAGCCTGCCCTGACGGCCAACCTTCGTCGATTGGTTCACATCTAGCCGTATCCATACGTTTTCCACGGCTGCCCAAGTCACGATTCACGAATTAGGCGAAACAGGCGATATTTGCGTCCAGGTCTGTCGCGAACTTCCTTGCCATAGTCCCGCACGAAGGTCTAACGCAATTGGCCTGATGTTTTGATCCCACCAACCAGCTCCAGAGTAGTCTCGCCAAGCCATCGCCACAGCGTCGCTAAACTTAGTAACTACGTCGTTGAGTTCTCGTAGCTGTTTTCGCCAACCTAGGGAACGGATGGGTGGTTGGTCCACCTCTACCTTTTTCCAACTAACTCATGCCTCTCACCTGCAGTATCTTGTGCCTTCTATCCATGGCTGCCTGAACAATCTGCATTATTCGTTTCGAGCCTCTGCGTTTTCTCAGCCTTCGCTGTGTCTGTCTAAAATTGTTTACGCTTGTCCCTTATCCGCTGAAGTTGTATTTTTTCTCGACTGTGGCATGCAGCGTCACCTCGCGTCGCCAGCTGGAAGCTTGTGCAGTTTCTACTAACCTCGTTCCTTCGCGTTAAGTAATCCAGCATTAGGGTTCCGAACCTTGCGTGCCTCCCATCGTGACCGTTTCAACAATGTCCGAGATACGCCTACACCCGCTTTGTTCAATACCAAGACGACGGCTCCACCTTCCCTTACTCCATCGTTCTCAACCTCATCGGACCCCTCAGCAGTAACACTTCCATGCTGCCTCGCTCCTCGCAAGCTCTAGCGCTTGCACCCGGCGTCCAGTATATACAAACTCCATCTAGGTTTTCATGTCGACGCGTCACGAGCAGTAGTCGTGTTCTGAGACATCTCGAAGCAAGCTCGACTTTAGGGCTTCATGTCGAAACGTAACGAGCAGTAGTCGTGTTCTGAGACGTCTCAAAGCAAGCTCGACTTAGGGTTTCATGTCGACGCGTAATGAGCAGGAGCTTATTCTGGGCCTGGGAATATCGAGAGGGTCCGATGTTCTTATATCGCATAGCCCCCTTAAAGGGGAGTTTGACGATTTCCTCCTCGAAGCGGCGAAGAAGGTGCCGAAGTACGCGCGATGGTTCTCATTGGTAGGTTCATACGTTGTTTCCTCCAGAAAGTTCTGTTCTTGGTAGGTGCTACTAGGTCGTAGCGGGGAATTAACTTAACAAACTTGTCAGGCTTTCAATTCGCTGGTCGCCCTACGCTTGTTGAACTTTTACATTTTTTACCACCTTTCACGACTTCTCACCTGGTATTTCTCTCTCCTTTTTTGCCGTTTTTCTTTAATTTATACACGCCCTTTTTTCCCTGTAGCGTGTCTTCACCAGAACACCGCACATATAGGATCAGGCAAAGTCAATCTCTCACGTGCACGAGGACACCGCATGCACGCTAACGGCGCACGAGTGCCCCTGCTCCTCCTCCCCTCCCCACCTTCCCCCCGCTTCCCCCCTTCCCTCTCCCCCACAGCTGCGATCAGGTGATGCTAATATTCATAGTCCATATGGACACAATATGCAGCGACGCACGAGTGCCCCAACTCCCCCTTCCCTCCCCTTCCTTCCACCCTCTTACTCCCTCTCTCCCCCCTCCCTCCTCCCCACCTCTCCACACAGAGCTGGGATCAGGTGATGCTAATATTCTTAGTCCATAAAGACACCATCTGCACGCTAGCTGCGCACGAGTGCCTGGGCCGCTCCCAGGCGCGCTACCACCTGGAGAATCTCCTGGACGACTTCCGCGCGCACGAGCGCGGGGGGGTGCTCTCCTTCTCCGCGCACCAGCGCCTGGAGCGGAAGCTTCAGGCGGTAGTCTCCGCCAACAAGGGCGTCGTACCCCCGCGGGTCGTCTTATACCTCTACCCGGGCGCGCCTAAGAAGTTCCTAACCAAGGCGGACCAAGAACCGGAGTATATTCGGCCGGAGGGGAAGACCCGGCTGCAGAAGGAGTTGGAAGAATTCGACGAGGACGATGATTTTGTGTTCTCGACCGAGCATAAGGAAGCCATGGCGGCAGCGGCGGCGGCGGCGGGCGCGGGACGGGAAGGGGGAGGCGGAGCGGGGAGGCGAGCAGGTTTGCCGCCGTTAGCGGGAAGGGGGAGGAAAGGAGGGGGAGCGGGAGGGGGCGGGGCAGTGGGGGGAAAAGGGGCCCCGCCAGTGTCAGTGTCGCAGCGGTTTTCCAGAGAGCTCTGGCGGTTAAAGAACCCCACTGACGCGTGGCATGGTGCGTACCCGTATCTAAGTGAAGCTCTCACCCCCTCCGTCCCTGACCCGAAGCAGTCGAAACAAAAACCAAAGCGAGGGGCGTCCGCGTTAGCAGTCGCTGCTGCATCAGCAAAAGCGGCCAAGGGGCGGCGGCTCTCGTCGTCATCCGACCCGGGCCTAAACGACCCCCCAAGCCCGAGGTTCGGGTGGGGGGGCGGGGGGATCTCCGACGGGTCCCTATGGTTGTCCGGGTTACAGGGGCGCATGAGCCCCTCGCTCTCCATGGATTTCTCTCAAATGGGCGCGCCGGAGGGGCCCGGGAGTGTGCTACAAGCGGGGCTTAATCTCATGTTCGACGCGTCTATAGGGATCACGTCGGAGTATGCTGCCATGCGGAGCCGGAGCACGTGGTCGGTGCAGCTGACTAGGGTCTCTGCGGAGAGTAGTAATAACTGGGAGGTTGGTTTTGGGGAGCTCAAACGGTGTGCGGCTGGGGGGGGTACAGTGGGGATTGCGATTGTGGGGAGTAAAGGGGAAGGGAGCAAAGGGGAGGGGAGTAAGGGGGAGAGGCCGTCGTCTCGAGGGGGGAAGGGGGAGGGGCGGAGCAGCAAGAGCAGTAGTGCGAAGGAGGGGAGAGAGGGTGGCAGCAGTAGCAGCAGCAGCACGAGGAAGTCTGGTGCAATGACGGGGATAGTGACCAGAAAGAAGGACGGCACGCACAGCGTGATGATCGCACGGGGCGGCAGCGGGTCCGCTGTGGACCTCAAGAGCAGGAAGGATGACGTGGCAGGTACGAAAGGAGGAGCAGCAGGGGGTGCGCAGGAGGGTGGTGCTGCTGCGGGTGCAGAGCCGCTAAAAGAAGGTGAAGCTGGTAAAGAGGGGGGCGAGAGGAAAGGTAGAGAAAAGATAAAGGGGCACATTCAGGCTCGCGCGCCCTCGGGCTTATCCTGGGAAGATGAGATCGCGTCACAGCTAGCTGCAGTCGGCGTGAGAGTAGCCCCTAGCAAGTCTGCGAAAGACAGCAGCAGCAGCGACGACGACGATGATGACAGGAAGAGCAAGGACGGGCGGAGGTCCGGGATCGACCAGTCGCCGCGCGCCGCATCAGCAGTGTACGCGTCACAGGCCGCGCGAAAACCCAAGGGGCCGACGACCTCGGTGTTTGAGAGAAAACGGCCGGAGTATACCCGGTCGCCATCGGATCTACACGGCGAGCATGGGAGGGCGGGCAGTACGGGGGGAAGCATTGGGCGGTCGTCGGGTTTGGCGGGGCTGGGGCGGCTAGCTAGGGGGTTGAAGAAGACGTTTAACATCCAGGGCGACCAGCATGCCAGCTGACTGGTGGCATTGTGACAGTTGAGTTGACTCTCTCGTCGCCTTGGCAGGGGGTTGAATAAGACTTTTAACAACCAGGGCGACCGGCATGCGAGCTGATTGGGGAGCTTGTAGTCTGGACGGTGGGGGCTTGCCAGGCGGCTGGCGAAGACTTGTACCTATTTAGCCCAGCAGCATGGCAAGAGCATGCTAGCAGCATAGAAGCTGGCAGGCAGCTGTAGTTCTGGCTGGGAATTTGAGGAGTCGAATGAGGCATTTGGTACTGAGGGGCGAGTAGCGTGCAAGCGGCATGCTAGCTGCATGGCAGGCAGGATGCAGGCAGCAAGCTTGGTAACATGCTCGCAGCTTGCAAGCCTTGTGCAGGCGGCATGCAAGCTGGTAACAGGAGCGGCAATGTCCAAGTGGCCGGGTGGGGCAGGTCGAGACACATTTCCTTGTGGGTAGATTGGGATAGATAGTGGACTATGGTTAGTTGACCAGGCGAAGGGTGATCAGCATATTGGCTGGCTGGAAGAGGGCTGCCGAGCTGTTGGATCGACCCAAAGGCCACCTCATGGCTGAAGAAGGGCGTCGTAGCCGCTGGGTGCTTTGTGCTGGTTGGCAACTAGTGGCGTTTATCAGCGACAGAACTACAGCATAGGTTATCTGGCTTTAATCAAGAACGGGAGGAGCAGCCATGGTGTGGCAAGGAAGGTAGTGACATAGATGGGAGGGGGGGGGGGGGGGGGGGTTGGATATGATTGGACTAACAACTGTGGCTTTTAGGGTGATGCAGATGCAGGGCGAGTCAACAGGTGATGTCAGTTCATAATTTTGCAACTGTAGGAGGGTCGGGACTGTACTAGCAGGTTTGGTTGCACGTCTTCAAAAGAGTCTGTAGAAGGCAAGCAAGACGTCTAACGGTAGGAGCAGCATAAATGTATGTCAAGGAATGTGGTGGTGGTGTGGTGAATGTCAACTAATTATTTCCTATATGTACCATGCTTCTATTTGATAGCTTATGCTCTACCCTTCGCCAAAATTCAAGGTTTCTATTTGAATGCTTCGACATACATTTGTACATTTGTAAGGTGAGTTGCAATGTGAAGATATTGTAAGCTTATGGCCATAAAATTTACCTGTCATTTGGCAGTGAATTTTGTCAACTCATGTACCAGTATATGTGTTGTTATAGGCTAGATAGGTGCATGCTCTTAGAGAGCACAACACAAAGCATAAGAATACCATGTATGCCCTTGTCTAGTCAATGCGTTATTCTACGATGGTATCACACTAGGTTAGGTCCCTCACCCACGCTTCCGCCATAGACCGACCTAGTCCCTAGCGCCCGCCCTCTCATGCCCGCGACCTAGCCCGCTGGCCCCTAGCTCGCCGCTGGCCCTTCGCGCGCCGCGTGAGCCCTCGCCCGCTGGCCCCTAGCTCTCCGCTGGCCCTTTCACACGTCGCGCGAGCCCTAGCCCGCTGGCCCCTAGTTCGCCGCTGGCCCTTCGAGTGCCGCTCGAGCCCTCGCTCGCTGGCCCCTACCGTGCTCGCTGGCCCTAGCTAGCCGGCCCTAGCTCGCCGACCCTCGCTTGCCGGCCCCAACTCACTGGTGCTCACTCGTCGGCCCCAGCTCGCCGATGCTCACTCGTAGGCCCTAGCTCGCCGGCCCACGCTCGCTTGCCGCCCCCCTAGCTCGCTGGCCCTAGCTCACCAGCCCCAGTTCGAGCCGACCCCAGTTCGCGCCGGTCCCAGAACCTGCCGGCCCTAGTTCGAGCCGGCCCCAGTTCGCGCCGGCCCCAGCTCCTACCGACCCTGCGCGCCACTGCCCTGCCGCCAGACTCTGCTTGTCGAGTCACGCCGCCCAAGCTCAATGTGCCGTCATGCCGCTGTGCCGCTGTGCCGCTATGTCGCCGTGCCGCAGTGCCGCTGTGTCGCCGTGCCACTGTATCGTCGTGTCGCTGTTCTGCTGTATTGGTTCCCCTCTGCGCCAGCGCATCCGCTGGCTGTCTCCTTTGCCGCGGCTTCCCTGCTTTTCACAGATCTCCACCGGTCTCCACCGCTCCCCACCGCTCTCCACCGCTCTCCTCCTCCTCTAGTGGTCGTTAGCTGCTACAGCTGTGGTGATGGCGGACGCTGTGCTCCACCTGGACATGGAGGGTCAGGCGGTCGACTTTGAGGCGTGGCTCGCCGACCTCCGCCGCCAGCTGAAGGGTCAGCGCCAGGACGGCCAGTCCCTGGCCGTCCACGTCGACGGTTAGCTCCCCTGCCCCGACCCGCTTGCTGCCCTCCCTGTCGCCCCCACGCTTGCTGAGCGTGAGGCCTTCGCCGCTGCTAAGCTTGCCCGCTCTGTCTAGGAGTCGCGCAACGCAGCTGCGCGATTTGCTATCAGTCACGCCCTCCCCTTGTCCGAGCGTCCCCGCTTTCAGGCTGTAGAGACTGCGAATGAGTTCCTAGATGTAGTCATTCCGCGCTATTCCACTCCCTCCTCTGCCTCTGCTGGCCGTCGCCTGCTCCCCCTACTCTTCCCTGATCTTGCGTCCTTCCCCATTGTCGCTGATCCAGCCACTCACCTGCGCGCCCTCGAGACTAGCTATTGCGCTGCTAGCACTGTACTGCCCCCCCCCCTCGACGCTACCCTCTACTCCCTAGCTACGCGCTTTTCAGACCGCCTTGCCACTGCCCACGACCACTTCCTTACTCTCCACCCCGCTGACCTTACACTTACTGTCTTTGTCACCACCTTGTCTACGATAGAGACCCGCCAACTCACTATTGCTCAGTCTAGCAGTATTGCGCCAGTCCCTATCTTCCAGGGTTGTGCTCCCTCCCATTGCAATTACTCTGACATAATTGCCGCTGTCGCTCAGACAGCCCCTGCTGCTGAGACCGCTGCGGCGGCCTCAGCGCAGCCTCGCCAGGGTAAGGGCTGCCGCCCCAGGGGGGGGCGTGACGGGGGAAGGGGTGGCGGGGGCGGCAGAGGGGACGGCGGTGGTGCGAGTGCTGGTATAGTCGAGGGAGCCGGGAGTGATGCCCCGGTGCAGCAGCAGGAGCAGCAGCCGCAGCAGCAGCAGCCGTGGGGACCCCCGTGGTGGCTCGGCAACTTTGGTGGTGTCGGCCGCAGTGGCGGCTCGCGCAGCTCGGTGTCGGATGCTAGCTCCAGTGCGGTGACTTGCCATTACCAGCTTCAGACCGGCCCTTGTGACGGCACCGTGTGCGACCGTCCCGGTCACAATGCCGCCCTCTGCTACCGCCACCTCGACGACCTCTTCCATCTCTGTTTTGGGCCCGTGCCGAACCCCCCAGACTGGCACAGCCTGGTACGTCGCCAAGTGTCGATCTTTACGATGGATATGGATCAGAGTGGCTCCGCTTTGTATGTCATATATGCTGTTAACTCTAGTGTGACTGGACCTTTTCCCCTGTGTTGCCTAGTGTAGGTGTGCCCACAATGTATAGTCAAGGCTCTCCTGCTGCGCCAGGCGTAGAACCTCCTGCCTTGTTTAGCCTTGGCTCTACCCTAGTACCTCCTCCGGCTGACGCTTCCGCTGCCCTCTCTTTCACGCTGGACTCTGGTGCGTCCGCTTGCTTCTTTCGCGACCACACTATACTCACGCCGCTTGCCGCCCCTGCAGCTGTCGCTCTTGCTGACCCCTCATCAGGTCCGGTAGTTGCACGTAGCTCCACCACCCTTCCCTGTCTAGCGGTTCCCTCGGGCTCTCTTACAAGCTTTCAGATCTCGTCATTCTCGAGGAACCTAGTTGGTATCGGCTGTCTTTAGGACCTCGACTTCACTACTACGTTCCTTGGACACGAGCGGTACGCAGTTTGTACGGAGGCTCCCACTGGTACCCCCCTCACCACGTTCCCCCGGGACTCGGTGTCTGAACTGTTCACGCTGGACACCACGTCTCCCCCGGTTGGAGCGTTCACTCAGGTGGCAGCACCTACTCAGGTCACTGCGGCTTGCTCGTGTCAGTCGCTCACCCACACGTTGCTTCTGTGGCACCATTGCCTAGGTCACCCCGCACTTCCGTGTCTGCGTCATATGTCCGATCACGGTCTTGTCTTCGGTCTTCCTGCGTCACTCCTTGCCCTTCCTCCCTCACCTATGCCGCTGTGCACGCCTTGCGTCGAGGGCCGACTGCATCATGCTCCTCACTCCTCCTCGCTCCCCCCTACCTTTACACTACTCCAGACCCTGCACCTAGACTTTTGGGGCCCAATTCCTGTCCCTGGGCTGCCTCAAGAGTGCTATTTCCTAATGCTTGTCGAGGACTACACGCGCTACACAACGGTCTTTACCCAGGAGCGGAAGGCCGATGTGCTTGACGTTCTTATCCTGTGGCTTGTAGCCGCGTGTGTCCACCGCGCCCTGCCAGTGCGCCGTCTCCATTCCGATCGTGACAGTTAGTTCACCTCCGGTCGGCTTGGCTAGTTCTGTCGTGCCGCCGTCCCACCCTGCTCCCCGGTAGCTCCCACTCCCCATCCTACCCCGTCAGGTGTGTCTCACGTCACCCCCCTTCCATCAGTTGCCCAGGCGGAGGAGACTGCTGACACTGGGGGCCCTGCAGCTTAGGGTCCGCCGCCTGTTTCTGCGGCGCCTGCGCCCTCCGCCCCCGCGTCTCCTCCGCCACCGCAGCCGCAGCAGCCGCCGCCGCCGCAGCAGCCGTCGTCGCCGCCCAGGGCTCTGGCTAACAGGGTGACCACCCTCAATATCACAATATTCTTAGTTGTTTCCGACCAGATGCCGTAATTTTCATATTTAATGTTCCTTGATTCCGTCTTCCTAAAGGATTACTTTCGTATAGTTCCTTGTCATTATGTGCTATTTTTTTAATCTATACGAAGTGTACTTGGAGCACGATATGTGTTTGTTGTCGTGTATCACCCATATCTTCACCAGGCCCCCAAATTGGTTTTGGGGGTGTCTGATTTATCAGACTTGCTTGTCATCCCTTAATATGGCCATCAAAGTCGCCCCTTAAAAAAAGTCTAAAAAATCAGAGTAACAAGAGATTTTTTGTTTGATTATTCAGAGTTACCATTAATTTTTACGCTGATTATAAAACTGGTGTTCTGTATGTCTATTTTTTCTTTCCCTTTCCTAATCCAGGGGCTTTCTCCTCTTGCAAGCTCTTGCTATCTGTGTGCTGGCGACAACACACAGAATTTCGCGTCACCCTCGACCCGGCCCCGCACCAGCGCAAATGGGGGCGGAGAGGAATTGGGGGTGGGCAAAGTAAAATTGCATGGAGGGAGGGAAATCGCGCCATCCACGTGGCTATTTCGTGAAGGGCCAATGGGCGCCCTCGCATACACAATCCACAGCAAACATCGGTATTTTTTTTCAAGGGCCAATCGGCCCCTCACACCCGCACCCTGCACAAAGTGGGAGGTGATTTTGGTGAAGGGCCAGTCAGCTCCCTTACACAGCCCCCATTACACACTGGCCTTTGATTTTGGTGAAGGGCCAGTAACCGCCCTCACAAAGCCCCCTGCAAGCATCGCGCTCTGATTTTGGCTAAGGGCCAATCAGCTTCCCTCACAGGTAAATCACGCTCCTCCGGCATTACACAAATCAGAGTCACCCCCCATACAAAGTTGAGGCATCAGCGTACAATAGTAGAAACGTATGAAAAATCAGCGTAGGTACATAAATCTTATCTGAAAAATGAGAGTCAAGTACAAAAAAAAGTCTTCCCAATCAAAGTACACCCCAAAAAAAAGTTTGAAAAAAGTCTGAATTAGAGTAAAAAGTGTGCAATTTGGGGGCCTGATCTTCACTAAGCAAAGGGGAGGTTAGGTAGAGGGAATTTTGAACTCATCCAACCCCATAGACGTTCGAGAAACGGTCCCTGGGGGTTCGAGGGCTTTTCATAGCCGTGGCGAAGGCCATTTGACTGAAACGAATGGTGCATTCCGGAGAGAGTGTCAGACCTGAGGACGATCCGCGGCCGAAGGAGTCGCGGGTTGTCACAACCTAACTGCGGGTTTTATATTCTTGAC